TTTTTTTTTTTTTCTTTAAGTGTGGTGCTCATTTTTTCCTGAGAAAGCTAAAGAGAAAATTCAAGAATTGAGAACTTTCCATTTCTTTTATTCGGTTTTGCTATGAATCCAACAATTTGCTCCATAGTAGAGTCAATCTTCTATATATAACAAATAAATCTATCATATAAATAAAATTATATTAATGTTATTTAAGTAATCAGAAAATATGGTAAGTTTATTTGTTGTACATAAAAGGTTGGCTCCACTATGGAGCCAACTATTGATTTCGCAGCAAAACCGTTCTTTTGTTATAACTAAAATAAAAATGAATTATCTTTGCTAAGATTAGATACCAAAAACAATATATCTTATGGATGTTGCCGGATTGATATAAAATGGGGAATTTTTATTTGCACTACGTGATTTGAAAAAAAAATACAATTTTACCATGAGGAAACTTGTATTTGCATTTTTTTTTTAATTTCATGTCAACTATCTATTAATATATATCGCGATTTTCAGTTACCAAATTAAGTGTAATCGTCTTCCTCAAATTATGGGATATTTTTAGTTACTTCCCGGCGGGTCGACCCAGGAGCCGAAACCGGTCTGGGTGGGCTATTTGGACCGGGTAACAATGGACACGGTCAAAACCTGACCAACCCGGCCTTGGCCCGGTCGACTCGGGTCATTGACCCGGTTGGGTCAACCCGATTGACCCGGTCTCTATAAATTTTTTTATATAAAAAATAAATACTATGTTTATATAATGACATAGTAAATATTTATTGTGAGATTCAATATTATTAACACTTAAATATACAAATTTAGTATACAAAATATTTATTTTCATTACTTTTATGCATATTTATATGTCAAAAATACTATATATATAATTTTAAAATTATTATCCGGTGACCCGGTGATTCAGAGAACTGCCCGGGTCGAGTTCTGGGCCGGGTTTAAAAACTATATAACCGCCTCTCCTTTAAGTGTAGATCATGGATTCTCATGTTTTTTGAATAGACAGTATAATATACATTGCTTTTATAGTCGGTATATAATCTGTATATAACCTAATTTTTTATTTACATAACATTTTCATCTAACTACAATAGTGATATTTGAATTTTTATTCAGTATATAACCTATCATATAAATATCATAAATTGATCATAATCATTCTTTTAATAATCATTTTTATACATGAAGAGTATATGATAAACAAATGAAGCACATGCCAGATGGTAAACACACAAAGCATAAGCAACGATAACATATATTGAACATATTCTTCTTATACATGCAACATACACTGTCAATTGTGCTAACGGGAACATATTCTGAAAAATATATTGTATATAAACGCAACATATCCCACAACATAATAAATCAAACGAAAAAATTTTCTCAAAAAAGCTGTCCTTATTTTTTTCTTGTCACGGCCTCGGGTGTTTTGACCTCGCTTAGCCTCTTTGTTTTTTTCTTCGCCTTCTCCACGGCCGACTTGCAAATCGCCATTTTTTTCGGCCGTCGTGTCGGGTTTCTTTGGAGGAATCGAAGTTTTCGCAGCGGTCAAAATCTTGTACGAGCTCTTGACCTTTGCGATCTTCTTCGATCTCATGAACTTTTTCAATGAGTAATGCTATAGAGCCCACTTGGATGACAATTTGAGTTACAACATAAGTGTAAATGTATCATAAGGTAACAAAAATATGTATGATAATAAACATAAGTAATTTATTGGTACTTTGAAAATCTCATCCTGAGGTTATCTTTAGTAAAAGGTTTTGGAAAAGTTTAAAAAACACAAACCTCTTATTAGGTCATAGGTTTGAGGTTTACCATTATTTTTTTTTTTATAAAAATAAGGAAAAGATAATGGGAAAAATGGAAGTAATAGTTGTTGACGAGCGTTTTCGGTCAACGGTTAAAAATAAAGAATGTCGAAAGTAAGATTGCAAATGGGAGAATGGTTCGGTCTAATCACGGTTTTATTAAACGATCACGAGGTCGGCCTCTCGTACGAGGTCGGCACTTGCGATATACTTACAGTTCTTACAACAAGTTTCTTACAATTTCTAGAGAGAGAAAGTAGAGAGGAAGCAGAGTTAGTTGGGATTCAACAACCCAAAATAAATGAAATGAGCTGCTATTTATAGTAGTCTTTAATATGATACTATTCAGCTACTGTTCACCGGTCTTGTCGCACAGTAATCTTGCAGGGCAGTTCGGCGTCTCCCTGACGCTTTTGAGGTTTCTGTAATCATTAACTGTCAGGCATTTAATGCAAGCATGGGGGGCATTTAATGCTGACAGGCTTTCTTGCCTAGGCTTGCCTATAGGGCGACATGCTACGAACGTCCATCCCATCGCCCAATGATGACCTTCCAAGTGGGAATATTTTAATGTTCACCGACCCCCGCCTTGACCTCGGAGTGGCCGCTCTACATCTTCAGGTCGGCACTTTTCTCGAATATGCTTACAAAACATTCCCGATCCATTCGCCAGTCCGGCACCCATCCACCCCGGCTCCTTCATTCACGAGCCGGAGTGCCGAC